CGTCGTGTCGTCTCCCTCGCTTCAAGTACGCTACTCTGCCCTGCCATATTTTCTCTGTCTTCTGTAGCTTTCCGAAGCTTTCTTGGTGGAAGCTTTCTTGGCGGGCATTCAGAAGAGCAGAAACAGAGCCTGCCACATCCGTCTCTACTCCCATCTCTTTCCCACTTCTGTCTCTTTTTATTTTTTTTAAATTTTTTTTCCTTTTTCTCTCTCTAGATTTATACGGACGATTCTCTGCCCATCTTCTGCCCTCGTTCACTTTTTTTTTCTTTTTCCTTTTTTTAATTCGGTTAATTTTTTTTTATTATAATTTTTTTATTGTAAAATAATTATAAAATATCAATTATTTTCTTAATAGAAATGAAATAACAGATTATTTAACTTACATTTTTTATATTTTATTTTTCAAAAACAAACCTTATCTTGGAATGAAAAAATATTAAATCAGGATTTCAGGATCATCCGGAGTTTAATGAGAAGACGAAGTAGACCCATCACAATACACAGTGATTAGTCCACTTTACACGTATCGCTTCCTTGTAGGACTCCAGATACATCCGGAGTTCTGACCTAATATTTTTCATCTTCGAACATAGGATCGACATCAAAAGTTATAAGAAAGCCCAACAATAAAAAGACCAACCTATCCCTCTGATGTGTATAACATGATTTACAAATTGTAACAGCAAAATATTCTTGATTAGATTTTTTGAAAAATGGAATAATATAGTGGGAAGCATGTGTTATCCCATATAAGTCTTTATAAAAATAAATAAAGATATTCAAAAGTTAGAGATCTATGATCAAAAGAATGATCTGTCAAATATTCAACAATCATATGATTGTCATATATTAAACAGTCATAGGATATGTAATTATTCATCATTTGATGAGATTTAAATATAATTGTAGTTGTTGAAATTACACATAGAAATAATTCATATCTCGCCATATATTTTTCTCACTATATTTAATTTTAGGGTGTGATTAAATATAAGCTCAACTCATATATATATATATATATATCATTCATTTCTTATGTATTTATATGTCTAATACATAAATTTTAATTTTTTGAGGATCATCTACCTCTTGGGTGATGACCTTTTTACCTCACTCAATTAAGGTGGGTTTAACCACCCTAGAGGGAAGGAACTTGCCATTTCTTTAGCCAGACTTCCTGGATATCCTCATTAGGGGACCCTGTAGGATCGCCTTCAACGAGACACTCAAAGGGAGGAGACTCTGTATCAGAGGCCTGAGAAAAAAAATGCCCCACCAATACTAACTGACAAATCGCTTAAATCGTCACAAAAGTCTTAAGTGCCATCGAAAGACGATAATATTGGATATTGCTCCTTACATTTTTTTTCTATTTTAAAATTAAAAAAATGATATTTTATGTGATATGAGAAATTAAAATGTTACACAAAATGTAAAAAATAAAATTTTGATTTAGATATCTAACTACATATATAACAATTGGGAGTTATGAATGTAAATGCTTTTCTTTTACGTGCAGAATAATTCATCATTGCTGTGTTGCATGGAAAGGGGTTGGTGGACCATAATGAGAGTGAGACTGTGAGATGAACCGTACGTTGAATCGGGCCAGTTTCTTTCTCGTGCCATAATTCTTTGCAGCGAGTCCTGACCCACACTAAAATTAACCTTTTTTTAATTTATAAATAATATATTAAAAATTAAATTAAAATGTACATTATATTTTCTTAAAAAAAGTATTCCAAGTAAAGGATATTAAAGGCCGTGTAAAGTGAAAATTTTATGTTGATTTTGAGAAACACAATATATACGGGCATTTATAAACAAATCACCTAAGAGTTCGTTTGGACAGTTTGTGTGTTTCAGGATAAGTTGATTATCATGAAACACAGCCCTCAGGCCGGCCGCGGGGGTCGACCTGCGGCCTGCGTTTCGTGTAAAAACCCAAACGCAGTTTTGGATAAGCTGACGAAACGCGCGAACCAAATGGTACGGCGACGTTTTGAAAAGACCGCCCGCTCTTATAAGCTACCCCAAACAGACCCTAACTCTTTATGTATTTACATAGCCACCAATTGAGGACTTTTTTTAAATATTTATGCCAATTCAAATCTTTAAAAACTTTGAATTATAAATGTCAGTTTTAGAGCGATCTAAAAGCTTTCGTTTGAGTACTAATTTTAGCAGCAGTAGATTTACGGCTCGTTTGGGGCAACGTTTAGGGGGTGTCTCGGCTAACGAACTCGATTCTCTCTCATTTGGATTCTCACATAAACAATTTATTTGAGCTAATCCCTCACACCTAAAAATCATGAGAAAATATAGAGCGGGAAACATGACTTATAACAACACAATCATCAACCATTTTCTCCCACATCTTCTCTTAATAACAGGGTATTAATTATCGATTTGCAATAACTAATGAAAAATACGAGACCTTATGCCCTAAATAAATTCAACATATATATCGCTCATAATATTTTTTATTTGTAAATCTATCACTTTCTTCTATTTCTTAAATGTTCACTAAAATAAAAAAATTTATAAAATAAATCAAACTAATATTTCTCATATTTATCAAATTTTAAATGATTTGGTCATGACAGACATAAATATATCAATTTAATAATAAAAAATTTACCAAGTGCTACTTTAATAAATATCATTGTCACAAATAATTTAAATGTAATAAATGCTTTTTAAAATTTGATTAATTTATGTTTTATCCAAATTAATTAATCATAATTAACAAAGAAAAGTTCGTGACTTTATATTTATTTAAAAAGGGTTTGATATCATCGACCATAATAAATAAAATTCTATTATATTTTCCGCACACGATTTAAGAAAAAAAAAAAGAATTAAATAAACATTCCGTACATCATCAGAGTATTTATGGCCATGTTACATGTTGAGGCCGGCAAGATGCTATTTTATTTATCTCTTATTAATACTATCATTATTATTATTTAAATAGTGGACATGTTGGAGATTCGTTTCAATTATGTCGGCCCATTATTGTTAAGAAATAATTATAAAATCTTTTTTTTTTTTTTGGGCCCAAATAAAAAATTCTCTTTAAAGAGAAAAAGGCTGATAACATAAATTCTAATTGTTGGTTGAGTATGTTAAGCAAAATTGGAAAAAGTATTTCTCGTCGGGACGATCAATCACACATCGGCCACTGATGACATGTATGACAATGTGATCGTCGGTGATTGACCGTCACAAAGTGCGGTGTCAAGATAAAATATTTTCTCGTAAAATTGAGGACATAAAGCACTTTGAATGTATAATTAATTGGAAAAAAGTATTTCTCGTCCGGACGATCAATCACACTTCGCTCATCGATGACATGTATGACAACGTGGCCGTCGGTGATTGATGTCACAAATTGTGGTGTCAGGATAAAATATTTTCTCGTAAAATTAAGGACATAAAGCACTTTGAATGTATAATTAATTCTCGAATAACAGACCTCGATCACTTTCTCAACATTTAAATTTTTTTGTTGGTAAATATTAAACATTAAGTAAAGTAGTTGTGCGGTGCTAAATTTGTAAATTGCATTTACTGAAAGAAAAAAAAAAATGATAATGTCAATTAAAATTGTATTTATAATTGAATTTGACTTCAATTTTTGTAAGATCTAGATCTGATGCGGTGGGATTAGGCTTTAAATAATGGGTGAGAGGTACAGGCCGGTAAAACGGGCCCATGAGCCCAACTCAGAAGCTGCCCTCCTGTGCTGGAATGATGGGAGCTGTGGGTCCCACATAAATTTGCTGTTTCAACTTGCCTCACATCACATGCATTATATTTCCTTAATTTAACGCTAGAATTGACTCGGCTCTACCTTAAAAGGCATTTACATATATACCACTCAATTCGAAGATATTTACATATTTATTAGTTAAAGTTTACTTTTAACATCTATACCACCCAAATTTTCCAAATCACTGAAAAGTACATTTTTCTTGAAATATAAGGTGGCATATATGTAAAAATCAAAATTTAAGTGTTAGAAGATTAAATGCATGCAAATTGAGTGGTAATTATGTAAATCTTTCAAATTATGAATTAAATAAATTAAAATTGTTGGTTTGAAAATATTTGAGATTATAATTTTGACCGGCATTTTATTCCAAAAATTATATTAAGAATATAAGATACATAAATATTATAGCAATTTGGAATAAATTTATACATCTAACAACTAAATATTTATGCTTACAACACGTTTAGAAATATCATTATTATTAATTTTTTAGAAGTAAATTTTAACTTTTGATGCATAATTTTTTTTAATACTAAAATGACAAAATGTTATAAATGTAAATATTAAGTTTAGGATGTTAGTTATGTAAATATATAAGAATTGTGTGGTATATATGTAAACTAGGGCTGTCAAAACGGCTTGTTGTTGGCGAACAACTCGTGTTTGACTCGTTAAGAAGCTCGTTTTGGCTCAAAATACTACTCATCAATTATATCTATATATCTATCCATGCGAACACGAATTAAAGATGTGTTAGTTCGTCTTCGGCTCGTTTTGGCTCGAAATACAACTCATCAAGTTTATATATATATAATAGTATTTTAAAAAAATCTAATTGACTACAAGGCTACAAAGATTTATAATGAAACGAAATTAATGAGCCGAACACGAGCTTCTATATTAAGTAGTATTTTTAAAAAAAATCTAATTGACTACAAGACTACAAAGATTTATAACCAATTAAAATATTGATTAAGAAAATAGAAAAAAATTATTAAATTAGATTCAAATGATGTTTTAATATAAATAATAATTTTTAAATCTTGCTCAAACTCTTATTGTCTAATGGCTACATGATTAGAGTTGTCAAAAAGATTTTTTGTTCGTGAACAGCTCGTGTTAAGCAAACGAGCCGAAGAGGAACACACTTTTTGAGCTCGAAATATAAACGATCCGAACACGAGCTGAGCATGGCTCGCTCGTGTTCGACTTGTTTACACCCCTAATGTAAACTTCCCATACAAAAATTACAAGATTAATAAAATATTACACTAATTGTTTTTTTTTTAATTTTTTTTCTACTTGCTATTAATATTTTATAGAATCATTATTGCCCCGATCCATCAAGAGCCTTTTGGGTGAAGATTGGACTACTAAAGCCTTGTTTGGCGGTCCGTTTTGTTCTTTACCTTAACAACAACTTAGGCATGGAAATAAATATGGGCGGTGTTGACATGGACTCTTACCTACCAATATCATTTTGTCACCAATAATGTACCCTAACCTAGATCTATATTTTCAATAATGTAAATTATACAGATTTATTTATTTATATTTATATATATTTTTTTTGGTAATGAGATGCTATTATTATAAATAGAAATAATTGAATGTTAATTTTATAAATATATGAAATTTGAACATTCAAATTTGATGATTCATGTGTGAACAATCTATTGCTAATATTCTGATTTATGATAACATTATTAATAAATTATAAGTGGACTATAACTAATATTCTCATTTTTTGGGTGAAACAATAGGTTAAAGTGATGGGAAGAATTCTCTTCTTAAGATGAACTCAACCTAAACTAAAGGTAATGGAGAACGTGACATTAGAAAGTTGTAGATGTCATTGAGAGCAGAGGCGGAACCAGACTCTTTTTTTAGGGGAGGTAAACTGTCCTCCTAGACCTAATATGGGAGGGGCTAGAACAATGACAGACATACTGTATGAGTGTGTGTAGTGGTGGTGGGCTGGGGCTCTCCCTTGATTGAGAATTTCTTAGACAATCTTCCTCTTAGTTGAGAAAATAAGCATATTCAATTTTAATCATTGACACTTATAATTAATTCTTTCTTTAGAAATTAATAAAATATATACTGTATATAAGTGGTAGTAACTCGACTTTAGAGTTATCAAACTCCGATGTGATTGTGATTTTATTTATTTCGAAGATTTCCAACCTTTTTTAATGAATATTCAGTAACATAATTTTTTTCTCTCTAAAAGGTTGTGCACTCATATATCCCACTTACTCAATCATCAACCATAGCCTTTTCTTGGAAATAAATGACGAAAAAATAAAGCAAGAAAATGACTTGAAGAATAAATTTCAAAAAAGACAAAATTGACCAAATAACCCCTCATTTTTTTTTTATTAAAGATGGAGAAATGTGAGAGTAATTTCTTAGATATAGATAGGGTTGGTATGGAATAAGTCCTCACACATTTTCTTTGACATTCACCAATGATCACCACCGTCCAATTCACAATGTATGGCATATATCTATTAAGTCAGGCCACAAGGTCCTTTCTTCTACCTTAAACTATTAGATGCAATAAGTATTAAACAATAGAGGAAAAAAGTTTCATTTGTTGACTTCATATATATAATAGTGATGGGATGCATTTCATATCATGTTAAAAAGATGAATAATTAAATTACAAAAAAAAACATTTAAATAAAAATAATTCATTTTATAGGATGATGATGAATGGTTGAAACATAGCAGGATTGTGTTTTTGAAGAACATTTTTATTTTTCACATGATCAATAGTATTTCTATGAAAAATGTTTCAATATGAATGACTCGTGTTATTATAAATATTTTTTTTATAAATTAGAGCATTACTTAGGAATAATAAACATGTTGTAAGACTTCGTTCGCTGTCCGTCACTATCAGTTGAGAATAATTTAATTGCAATAGTCATATGGGTGATAAATTATTGTGTAGGACATGTGGTGGGCATATTTAGATCTCAAATATTATCTAGGGAATCTACTTGTTGTTACTACTAATTGATGTTCAAATATATAATTAATTTTGGTTAATTTCCATCACTTTAAAATCGATCACTTAACTTATAGGTTAATTTATTTGCCCATAGGCCCCTCACTGGCAGCATCATCTACAAGCTACAGTTGGGGCACAAGCCCCGTTTACATAAATACCCACAAGATTTATAGAAATAGCATATTAGGTTAAATTTTCACATGAAGCCACCTTATATATTGTTGAATCTTTTAGGACATATGGTCCTGCATTATTCGCGAGTTCTTACAACCTGACAAAGATCCTGTTTTTAGGAGGAATGTATAAAAGGCGTTGGATGTTTCACTAAGGCTTGTGTTTCTCACTCTATATTTTTTGAAGATCCCTGGATGGTTAGGAATGATTTAATGGAAGGATCTCTATTTCCTTTGTCACTAGAGAGAGAGAGCGAGATAGAGGAAGGGAGGGAGGGAGGGAGTAAAACCCTTTTCCTCTAGGGCAAATCTCTTGAGAGCCCCTCTGTCTTCCTTTTATACATAAGAAGAAAGAAATATAAAAACCATATTTGATATGTTATCATGTTTGTACGTATTGTCTTGCAAAAAAAATTGTGATGCTGGTGTCAGACAATGCCATAAATAAAAAATTGATGCATGTGCTTGTGTGCAATGATGGTCTTCCCCAGTGATTTGTCTTGGGCTAACTTGACCACTTTAACAGGTGGACTTGATTCTACCATTTCAACAGGTTAGCTCAGTCCGACCACTTCGTCGGGCGGGCCCCCAAAACCCATAAGGCTTATTAGTCTTTAAGATATATCTCTGAAAAAGACTTGTTAAGATATATGACCGTATTCAGGTATACATTATTTAAGGTTTAAGAACTATGCTCGTAAACTTTAAAATTTATGTGTTGCCTATAAATCTATAAAAATGTTAGTGTTATGTGTGTAAACCTTAAATTTTATGTGTTGCATATATGAATCTATAAAACTTTTAAGTGTTATGTGTGTAAACTTGAAAGGTCAAGTGTTATGTATGCGAATCCATTGAAATAGTGGTGTGAAAAATATTTGGGATGTGACATTTAAACCTAGAATGTGATGTTAAAAAAACAAATCTTGTGACATTAAAGATTTAGGTTTTATATATGTTAAATAAAAGTTTAAATGTGGTATATGTAGACACGTTCAAGGGGTATTCATGTAAATCTAGAAAATCAACCAATTCAAGAAAATTTCAAAATAGTCTGTTCATCTCTTAAGCAACAAACTAAGAAAACTAACCAAATCAAAGTTGAAAAATCAAACATAAGAACATTAAAATTAAAATTCACCAACTTAAGAAATTGAAATCATACTTAGGTAGATCGACAAAAAACCCTAGGTTCGCTAACTTAAAAATGAAACACAGGTCTACATGCACTCATAGATTAGTCTATTATAAGCGTTTAGATTAATTACAAGGTACCCTTAGCTAGTGTTAAGGACTAGGACCTATAAAATTCTAAGCCTGTATGTCCTTTGAGCTATTTAGGTTTTCTAGAATGAAGTAATCTGTGATTACCGACGAAAGCACCTCTAACCACCTTATAGTTAAGTTGTACTATACTTGTCATTACTATGATAATGGTAGAGACCTCTAACTATATTGCAGGTTAATAATTTAAGGCTACCGATGAACCCAGGATGATGGAAAACTGTGGGTACTTTTACCGGGGATGTCATGCCCAAATTTTAGATTAGTCTACACCTATTTAGCATCTTCATAGAATTTAGATTTATCTTAGAGCCAGGCTTTCAACTTCCATATAAAAATCATATTCAATTGGTCTTATACCTTTGACTTTAGAATTTCTTCTAACCGATCTTATCCCTTTAAAAACTAAATTCTATTCAACCCTCTTAAATCAAATTAATTTTTTTTTTCAAACCTCATAAATCAATTAAATTCTTCCCAAATCCTCAAATCTAATTGATTTAGCGCAAATCCATCAAATCCAACAAAATTTGTTTCTGACCTTATCCCAATTCTACCAACATAACTCCCTTCATCAACCATCAATTTCTAACCTCCACGGTACACCTCTCTCTTAGAGTTGGTCAATCTCTTTTTCGGGACTTTCTATGTCACATCATTAGATCGTTAGTCCTAACCCTTCAATTCCATAAACAATTCCTTCAACTCATGAATCTATTCATTAAACTTGATACACTAATCTTGTAATCCTAAAGAATATAGATCAATAATTAATCGATAGTTTTATTCAGGGTTCAGGACTCTTAAGATGTAATTAACTATAAACGTTTGTTCTTGTAGAAATACCATGCCCCATAATTAAAATAGACTCTATCTTGCACTATAAAAATAGAGAAAAAACTGATTTGTAATCTCACGGAATTGTGAAACAATCAGTTCGATTTAAGATTTGTGCCAAATGATAAAATCTTTTTGGCTTGTATAATTAATGATAATGATAATATTGAAAATTTTTAATGTTTTGTTAAAATGAAAATTTAGATATATGCCGTAATTAAAGTTTGGGTTACATTTTCATCTTCTGAAACTTAAAATCATCCGCGAGTAACCTTACCAGTCTATCCCCAAATCGAAGCCCGACTTCGTCTCCCTCGCCTCACACGGAGTTCACACGGAGATCGATGGCTGCTGCCATCTCCTTCTCTCGTTTCCTCTCACCGAAACCTCCGTCTCCTCCGAAGAACTTTCACCGCTCAACGATCCCTCCCTTAGTTTTTATTCCTGCGCAGCAATCACCACGTCGAAATCCTCCCCTCCTCCGCCGACACTTCTCCGCCCAGGAGAATAACGGCGGTGCAGCGGAAACCCTAGCGGAGAAGATGGAAGAAGGCTCGGTGAAGGAGGATGAGGCCTCCGTTGCGGTGGAGGCGGAGATAAGGGATATGATGAAAGCAAGGAGGGATGAGAGATCGAAGGCTGATGAACTCCTGGCAGGCGTGGCTGAGGAAGTGAGGGAAATCGAGTGGCCGGAGTTCAGGAAGGTGGTGGGAACCACCGGCGTCGTTCTTGCGGTGATCGCCGGCTCCAGCGTAGCCCTCCTCACCGTTAATGCCATCCTTGCCGACTTATCCGATCGCGTCTTCGCGGGTAAGGGCATCCAAGACTTCTTCTCTGGATAAACTTTGTTCCCAACACTATGTAAAACGATTTTTTTTTCATTTATTTTAATTTGTTTTTCTTTTTTCATGAGCTGTTTTTATTTTATTTTGTTTATTTCCCTCAAATTTTATATTAATTAAACACTTCAATGGCTTCATTTTTGCACTAACCAAGCATGTGAAATGTTAATTAAGGGCTACTTGGACAGATGAAGTAATAGCCTATTGCTAGGTTTGGGTGCTGCTTTGCCTCCATCACAATCTCTATCTTCATTCTCATTTTTTTTTAAACAATGTCATAATAGCCTTGTGAGTAATGTTTGGGTGTTGTTCATAGATGAAATTAGGCTTAGGCAGACCAAAGGAATGATGGGTTTAGATTGATGTTATGAATAAGAAATCAAAAACTATGAGAAGTGAAGCAAATTATCCAAAGAAAGTTTGTCAACATTGGTCACCAAGATTTTGCTAAAAGCAAACAATTGGTGGAAATGGAAGTGATAGTCATAGAAATGATCAAGGAGGTTTTACTAACATTTACCCCTCCAATTGTTCTAACTAGAAAGAATTTTGATTGATAGTTGGCCTTCTTTCTAGTCTCAACATCCTTTGATGGCTTATTTCTTCTTTAAAGGATCAATGTGTGTTCCTCTTTATTGTGCAATCTTTTGGTTAACCCAAGAAACTGGTGAACAACGCATTCTTATACTTTTCATATGTGATTATTAACAAATCTTAAGTGACTCAATCGATATCTTTGATGGCTACAAACTAAGGGTATGGTGAAAATGTTCTTCTAGTAGACCTTGAGTGAGGACTGCCCAAGTCACAAAAATTCAAAATCTCTATATCTAACATTTTTCTTTGAAACCCCACGATAAAGTTTCTAACTGGATCACTTGATTCTTGTATTTTAGAAGACTTTGTTGTCGTTGTTGTTCAAAAGCTGCGATGACTATTATAATTTTTTTTGAAAAAGTCATACCGCAGTTAGAAAACAGTCACCGCACCTAGTCAGGACCGGTGGAAAAACACAGATTCCAATGACAATTTTTTGAAAAAAACTGTCAAAACACAGTTTATCCAACCGCCGCCCCAAACAGACCCTAAATGTAGAAAATAGTGTGAAGTCCATCAAATAGAAAGTTATGAAGACTATAAATGATTATGTAGGGCCAATATATAGTGAGGTCTAGGGTTACTCCAAGAAGTCTAATACCTACATTCGATCTCAAACGTCATGATGATGTAACAAGTAAAGCAAAAAATGGAAGATGTGCATGGCTTCTATAATTTAAACTCAACATACCCTAAGGATAGCTACATTCTCCCTTGGATTAACATGCTAGTCAACTTGACCCTTCGATTTCTTAATTATGAGCTTTTGCTATCTTTTTTTAGTATGTCATTAATTACAAATGCACCAAAATAATTTTTAAAAAATGAAATTCATTGTTAGGGAAAACTTTACCATTATGAGGTTATGCCTTTTGGCTAAAATAATAATGAGGCAACTTACAAAAATTAATGGGTCAGTTCAAAGATCAAAAAGGAACAAACATTAAGGTTCATATTAGTGACTTTTGTTGAGGAGCAAAGTCATTAGGACAATATATTCTAGAACTAAAGGAGACATTCACAACAATATAAAGTGTTCAATATGAGCCTTAACTTCTTAAAGGTTTTTTTGAAGCCAAATTTTAGGAAATTCCAAGGTCTCTTTCATACAACCAGATGGATACATATGAAACCTAAGAAGGCGAAGTGATCATAAAGATACATTCCTTAAGAAAGATGGAGCTATAATTATTAAATACTCAAATTCGTGGGACTAGTCGCTTCATCTTCAAATTAGGTGAAAGATTATGGACATATTTCTTACTTCAAAGATTATGAAACACTGCATTTGATGGATATTGCTAGAAATTTTTCTCTTAACCAGTGAAACTTCTATCTTTGTTAAATTTATTATAGGGCACACAACTTAGAGAAGTACTACTTCTCTAACTTGGGCTGGTAGAAGAAGTGATTAGGAGTAAGTTTATTTGATAAGACTAAAAAATAATGTCCCATCTGCTATATCAAAAAAGTATGTTCAAGGAGGTTAATGTAGAACAATGACAAAATACTTATTTTTTGTAAAGTTATTTGACATAAATTTATCATATTGAAAGTAATGATTTTCTTTACTTATTCCAAAATCATCATGTTGTTGGTTTTAGTATCCATATTGTATGTAGTGACTTATTATAATAAAATAGTATATAAGTTATTATATTACAAGATAAAATTCATATCATACTGTGCTAATATTTAACAACTTAATTTTCATATCATAGTGCACCCGTTTATTTATCTCCAAAGAATTTATTTAATGCAATATTTTACTACATTCATTTATTACGTTAAATATTAATAGATGGCCATTCACATGATTTCTTTAAATTTCAAAACCATAAGGTGGCTAACCAATGCATGCTTAATAAGATTATATAAATATAGATATATAGATATGTTACATGGTGTTTCTTCATAAATTGTGTGATTGAACACAATAATTATTAGATATACTTATTCCATTACATAAAGGAGGGGACAACTGTTAACATAAAAAACTTCCTTAGTATAGTACTCATCATGCTTGTTGAATTTTACTAATGAAGTTTTTTATCGATTTTGAATCACAATAAGTTTTTAGTGAATGCAATTAGTGATGATAACATTCAATCTTTTTCTTATGTGTCCAATTATTTATTAGTACAATGTGATTTACTTCAAGATATTATGAGTTTGAGCTAAATAAACAGTCTAGTCTGTGACAAGAAACACTTCAATTCTATGGTATAACTCAATACTTGTAAGGATATTATGAAACACTTCAATTATATATATATATATAT